ATGATCATCCTTCCTCATATCATATACAGTACTTGCTGTATACAATTCTGATCTCACTGCAACAAACCTTTTTTAAGCAACTTTGGTATTCGTATGGCACAGGAAACAAATGAGACTTGCCTATGCTATTTTACACAGACACAAACAGGATGAAGGGATGGGCCTACCGGACATAGTAGTGTATTACAAAGCCATGACTCTAGTTCGAATTTTAAACTGGCATCATGACAACTTTGGGTGCCCTGTGGGTACTGTCAGGAGACAGAGGGCTCTCTGACTCAAGTAACTCAAGTTACTGTATGGGATAGACTAAATGCTGACTGTACGTTCGCTTCCTGGTCTTCCCTCTTAACACCTCTAGGAGGCTTTCAGTGGTTCTCCCCAGGGGAGGACGTTCACCTTTTATATTCTTTGGGGAGCAGACATGGATACATCTGTGATGGTGTGCGGCATCAGACCCAGCCCTTCTCACCAACTCATGACTGAAGGACCAGCCAATCTCGCACCACGCTGTCACTTGCTTAACAATGCCACTCTCAGCTGCGCCCTGCACAAAGATTTTCCAGCTTGCGGGACCACAAACTATGTGCCAGCAGCCTGAGAGTGATTGTTACTGGGTCAGGTTAATTACACATTTAACTCTTCACACTACCACCACCACCTTTTTGCAGAGAAGGATGAAACTCACAAATCTTAGCAGTAACACTATGATATTAGTATAAGCGTCTGTAATACACACTGTCACCACAGACAGATGTATTCAGAGGATTATTACTTACAGTAGCACTCTTCAGAGACAGGGATTCTTTAGTTTGCATTAAAAGCTTTAGAGACAGTTCAGTGCTTTTCAGAAAATAGGATTTATTACTGAAAAAGGTCAAAATGGTGCAATTAAAATATTTACAGAAAAAACATGTAACAAAAATATAAAGAGAGCAATAAAACAACAGAGAAATAAAAGAAAGAAGTTCAGAAGGCAGAATACTTGCAAAAGTCCTTGGTTTGAGCAGAGTCCAATCATCCGAACAAAAGGCTGCTTTAGCTCTAAAGTCTTAGGTGGTTCCTGATCGATGTTAAAAGGAGAGCTCATTTTTCTCCAGGCTGTCAGTCTTTTTCTATCACCTCAAAGGGGTGTCTCCTGAGAACAAATGGCCAATCATCCCATTTGGGGATGGGTGTTAGGCGGTAACCAAAGTTATGACCAAATCCCTTTCAAGGTCATACTAAGGTCAATAACCTTCAATAGGTACAGGTAGCATCCTAGCAACTGGCAGATTAATATTTATAATTATGTTCCGAACGCACAGATACCAAACTTAGCATTTCTTTGTCACTCCGGATAAAAGAGACTGCTTTATGTTCTTTTGTAGGTACTGATACAGTCATGCAAGGTCTCGTTTAACTCATATTAAAATGACCTATCCGAATATGTACTTCATATTAATGTGCCCAGTTCTTGCTGAAGTGTATGAATTTGTATGAAAAATGACTCATGTGGAATGTACGTTTAATGGCATGCTTTAGCCCTAATGGCCTAACAGGTCATGACTGAATGAGTTATTGTTTTACGATCGAGCAGCGGAAAGTGGTTTTTCAAAGAGGATCCCCTGGGACTAGACTAATTAGTGGTTTACAGCCATGGAGCTCATGTAGCTGTGTTTATTTAGGACAAGAGGCACTCCTGACCTCCGTTCACTTACAGACTCACATTCCATTCTAAAGGAAGGAGGAAGGACAGGAGAAACAACACGTCCGTGACCTAACAAGATGGCTTGTCATGTACAGCGTCCATGCCTTTATTGCGCACAATCGTCACATCTTGCACTAAATTTGCTCCTGGAAGGAAGTTGTTGTCCATAGAGACCCTGCAGTCCCTTTATGGAGACATCCCAATGTTGTCTTGGCGACATCACCAATTACGTGATATTTTTTCTAAAATGCAACCAAACAGTGTCCACGGGATACACTCTCTTTTTTTGAGACCTGGTGCATACATCCCTCAGACACAAGACACCTGCTTTCGTATATGTATAAGCTAATACTTGGGGCCTAATCCCAGACACCTCCGTTATACATTAGAGAGTGGGAGAAGGTACTGGAGGCAGAAAATTATCCTGACCCACTTTGACCCATGTTTCCTTCATTAGCAATTGTATCCAGGAATCCTCTTATAAATTCTTAACTAGTAGATACAGAACTCCCTCTCGTCTAGCTCAGATGTTTCCAGGGGCTGATCCTAGTTGCTGGCTGGGCTGCCTCCAGCTGTACACCTTCATCCACCTTTGGTGGTCCTGCTTGAAGATCCAGGTATTCTGGGAGGCAAATTCCCCTTGGATAAAGAAAACAACCCTTAAATCAGTTCAATATAACCTGCTCCAGTTTCTATTCCATGATGTTCATCCATCAGTTGTATAAGAAAAGTGTGACTCCCCCCCTTTTAAACACAGCCAAGACCCTGATCCAGAACTCCCTCTCGTCTAGCTCAGATGTTTCCAGGTGCTGATCCTAGTTGCTGGCTGGGCTGCCTCCAACATGCCACCTTCATCCAACATTGGTGGTCCTGCTCGAAGATCCGGGCATTCTGGGAGGCAAATACCTCTTGGATAGAGAAAACAACCCTTCAACCAGTTCAATGTATTTGCGCCAGTTTCTATTCCATGATGTTCATTCATCAGTTAAGTTGTATAAAAAAGTGTGACTCCCCACCTTTTAAACCCAGCCAAGACCTGATTACATGGTATTGGAAACATGCTGCTTGTCCTACATTAGCTGATTGAAAACGGGAAGTGGGCAAAATCATGGAATCGGAACGTTGGGTGCAATCTGCCAAGAGCAACTTGATTGCTTCCATGACATATGGTTGGAATGGATGTATTATTCCTTGAAGATCCTAGATGACTGAACACACACACCTTTTTTAAATGTTATATCCATTTAAACTTAATGGTAATCTAGTATTTGTCTCAAGCCTAGTGCCTCCTCATTATCTGTTTTACCATCTTATTTTTTTGGTACTTAGCACCCCACACCAGGGGCGGACTAACTATTTGGAAACTGCCTGAGGGCCCGGGGTCAGTAGGGGGCCCCATGAGATGCCCCTGGTACCTTTTTCATAGGCTTTTTTGAGTTTGGGCAAGGACACAGGGACCCCATGATCCCCTATTGCCCGGGGGCCCCATGAGTTGTCAGTCCGCCCCTGCCCCACACTACTACTTTGACTCTTCTAAATGATTATTTTACAATATGCATCCCCCCCCCTCCTTTCCCCACACACACTATTTCCTCAGGTGGTCATTTTGTAAGTGTTATTCTACAGGCATATCCCCCGTATTGGTAATTTACTGGGTAAATTGTTCCTGTTTGTATTTGGATTTGTGGTTTGCACTTTCTCCTGTTTCCTGTGGCTACCTATGGTCCTAAAATGAACATTCTCCCTCCTCACTTGTTTTTCCCACTTGTATTAGCTTTTGTCCTGGGCACAACAGGATGTGCATTGGCTATTGTTGTAGAAGCACTGTTACTATATCCTGTTGAAATTACGTTTGTGTTACTATTTTTTGCCAGCCCCTTTTTTGTATTACTGTTCTGTACAAAATCATAATAAAAAGTGATTACAAAAAAAAAAAAAAAAATCTTAATGCATAGTAGTGATATTTATATTACAGTAACTTAATGCATAGTAGATATTATATTGTTTATTCAGTAACGTGTTCACTACAGCTTTGCAAAACTGACATTTTTCTTTTGCAGAATAAACCTGTTTTTGTAACATGTACCTTCTAATGGAATGAGTAAAAAGCACATTCATTCCTGGGCAACATCCTTCCATGTAAACGCCTAAGCTGCTCTCTCGTCTGTGTTCACAGGGAGGCAGATCACAATCTGGGCAGACAGAAAATGGACTGTATATAATTCTGGCACCTTTGTTAGCTTGCTGAGGTATCTGTATGGTGCAGTATTAGAGATTGTTTTCTGAATAGCTCAGACCTCAGTCACGTAAATATCTTTAAGATAGCTGGAGAGCACAGAAGGCCCTATTATGATTTTGCTGCTGGACTTGGTCATTTATAAATAAGCTTTTGCTAGCTATCAATCAATTTTTAAAGGGGATTCAGCTTTAGACAAATATTTTCCTATCTATTTATAGGGGAGGGATTGTAGAGGGGATAGGAAGCAAATGCCCCCATGGGCACTTTGGAGAATCAGGAACTGAGAAAATGAGAGGGCACATACTAAGATCAGAACATAATACACATATAAAAACACTGTTGCATACTTTTAGGGGCATATTAATATAACAATGACTGTGACTTTCACCAAACATTCATTGGCTGTGAACTAATCATTGTAATAACACATGTACCTAGAAGATTCACCTGCAGTGAGTATGTGGTTATTTGGTACATGATTCATTGCTTTAGAAATATGCCCCAGGTTTTTATGGGGGTTTTTTTCTATTCCCATGGGCCACTCATTTGTGAGCAGGTCTGGGTATACTGTATAGGCCATTGCCTATTGTATCAGGGCTACCAGGGGCAGCACACATACACTCACACATCTTATTGCTGACTGTCAGTAACACATTCATGTATAAAGCAAAATGTTTCACATCTCTTCTCTACCAGTGGAGTCTCACAGGGTTCTGATTGTTGCTGTTCCAACATAATCTGTGTACTTTTAATTGCAAATAATATGCTGCTGTCAAACTCATACCATATCTTTTGAAGAGAAAACATAATCAAAGTTTACTGAATGTATATCCATGGCACTTTACACCAAAAGGAACATAATTGTGCATATTCTTGCAAAGATGACTATCATATGACAAACCTCTTAACCACTTCCCATCCGCTCTATACCAGAAATACTGCTACTGGGCAGCACAGGTGCACAAAATCACATATATATATATATATATATATATATATCACATAATCTGGCTTTCCAGCTGCGACTGTCAATCACTGGGTCCTGGCTGGTCATTACTCGCTGAAGCCCGGTGATTTCCGACGGTCTCCAATGGGGAGGAGAACTGTTTTGATTACTAACAGTTTTCCTCCCTGTCAGCTTGGGCACACTGCTTTGGATGGCTGTGCACAGTACAGCCATCCAAAGCAGTGTGCTTACAGTAAAGCACACTGACAGGGTACCCTATGTAAAACACTCCCAGCACACAGTTAACCCTTTGATCGCCCCTCATGTTAACCCCTTCCTACCTAGTGCTTTTTTTGAGCACTGATCACTGTATTGGTGTCATTGGGGATGTCAGTGACACCAAGTCAGTTCCCCCCAGTGTCAGAATGCTCGCTGCAGTCCCGCTATAAGTCACTGATTGCTGCCATTACTAGTAAAAATAAAATGTAAAAAAAATTCCAGTATCTATACCACCATTGTAAATAATAAAACTTTCTCACGTAAACCAATTAAATTACACGTATTGGGATTTTTTTTTTGCAAAGACATGTAGCAGAATGCATTTTGGCCTAAATTTATGGCGAAATTTGATTTTTAATTTTTTTTTATTGGACATGTTTAATAGCAAAAAGTCAAAAATATTGTTTTTTTTTCTCAAAATTGTCCGGCTTTTTTTTATAGCAAAAAAAATAAAAACCGCACAGGCGATCAAATACCACCAAAAGAAAGCTTAATTTTTGAGAAAAAAAAGACATAAATTTCATTTGGGTGCAGAGTTGCATGACCACGCAATTGTCTGTTAAAGTAACGCAGCACCGTAACACAAAACATGGCCTGGTCAGGAAGGGGGGTAAATCCTCAGGAGGGCAAGTGGTTAATAGTACAAGATATAATAGCCTTTATTTAGTCATAACAAAATTGCTCAGAGCAAGATAACTCAGAGTCTTCCAGAGTCTATCCTGCTTGCTCTCACTTAACAAACTATACCTTTCACATGTCCACACATTCTTGTTTATTACCATTCTTTAAGGTTGCAATTGTCGAGAGGAGCAAGAGCATAACCACCAGGCCTGTAGTCTGACTGAAGCCATGTTCAAAATTTCCTAACATTGTCTCTTTTTCACTCTGCTGCTAGGCTTAGTGTATCTTGTATGGCCATGACATCCAATTAGCTTTTTTGTGGTACTAAGCCTAACCAGTCAACAGGGGTAGGAGTGGGCAGCACAAGTGAGTTGACTTGGGGATGAAGGAAGTATAAATCCAACTCAGGTTAAGGGTTCAGGTTGAATACAAGGATGAGTGACCTTCCCATTTGCTTGTCAGATTGCTTTTCCACTTCTTTGCTACAATAAGCACTTTGGAAAGCATTTAAACAAGACAAATGCTTACTCAGATGCTTTCCAAAGCATCTGTCATCAGTCAATTGAAGGTTTACTCTTCAGAAGTTCTGTTTATGGGACTCATCAAATTCCGAAGCAGTGAGTGAGAGGGTTTCCCTTCCTGGCTGTTCGTAGAGAAGTCAGAGGAAAGTGGGGCTTGGTTAGTCCTCAGAAGACATTCACATCATGCCTTAGCCTGTTCTTCTTTTCCCTTAGTTGCTATAATGTCTAGGTTAGTTATGTGAAGTGATGTTTTTACCAACAGAAAATGAAATCGACATGATTAAACATGTGCCATTCTTGTAAAGGCAGTTGGAAAAGTTCTAATACCAATAAAACAGCTGAAGTCAATATTGTGAGGGTTTGCTAAATAAAGCCATGGACAAGTGATACACTTCCACCTGGCTGAAACATGCCAAAGGCATCTCAGATTTCCTTCATGTGTTCAGATGTCTGAAAGAGATGTTTTATAACAGTTATGTGCTCAATAAAATGTTTAACTGTAGCACCTAAGTCTGCCTTTGTGCTGACCTCCTGTAATCTCTTGCAGATCAGCATTTAGACCGGGAGAGGAAAGGGCAGTACTGTAAGCCAGTAGGACTTTACTGCACTGTAAACGTCTGTGAATCTAACAAATGGACCTTGATGATTGAAGGGTATAGCACAGAGATAACCTCATTAGTGAGCTGCTGCACATCCAATATCCAATCAGAGTCTTTCCCAAGCTGCGTTGCTTTAACTATGGTGGATAAAATGATTTTGTATCATATTTGGCAAAGTGGTATGATTAGAAAACTGGCTGGATATAATTTCAATGTTCTTGGCAGTGAACATACTGTAGTTCACAAATGTTTATTTAGCTGTTTGCCTACAGTTCCACTTGATTAATTGCCCAAAACTGGAGAGTGTGGAGAGTTTCAATGAAATTGCACAGCAGGTCTTCTAAGGCAAAGATACCTCTAAATAGGATATACGCTATTTGTCCTCAGCCTAAAAATGAATGTATTTTTTTTTAATTGCTCTTAAGCCACTTAATGACGAGATTATTTTTGCTTTCCAGTGGTGCATTTGTTTGAGATACAGTCTTAATAAGTCATCTAATATTTTGAAATACCAAGTCTTTTTACTGTACTACAGTGGCAGCAGGAGAGTGCTGTAAAAAAAATCAGTTCTGTACCTATTATAGATGTGTTACCTTTTCTGCTATGGTATTGTTTTGTCACTCACCAAAATTCTGAAATATCTCATTTACTAGCAAAGGAGCAACAATGCAGTTCCCCGTGCTGGTCAGGCAGGAACGTGTTTTCTTTGGTTCCACTGTTGCAGCCAGTGACATGATTACGTGTCTTACAAGGATTTTAAATTACAAATATCCCTACTGAGATGCAATGTTTGTGTCACATACCTGGTGGAGATCGAGCTGGAGATGGGACTTCTCTTGCACCTCTTGTCCAACATACCTGGTAGTGATGACAGGAGGCGTGAGGACACAGAGTGGCATGAGAGCCTGTACAACAGGCAGCGCCAGCTGGTGTTTGCAGGCAGCAGATGACCGTAGATCAATAGACAGGAATTTGGAACTTTAACATGCACTTGACTGGCAGACAGGAGTGTAGCCAGGACACAAGCCAAAAGGTCATCAACAGCCAGGTAGCGAGCTGCAAGAACATCAGGCAGAAGACAGAGTCAGGATACAAGCTGAGATTGGTACACAGCCGGGCAGCAGAGTACAAGAGCAGAAGACAGGAGCAGAGTCAGAATATAAGACGAGGTCACAGCAGGCAGACAGAATTCCAAAGACAGGTCGGGGCAAGCCGAGTTGTGCACAGACAGGCAGTTATAGCAGGTCAAGGCCAAGGATAAGCAGGAACTAACTGAAAACCACTCAACAATCCATTCATGTCATAGTCCAGCTTATAGTACAGCCTTTTGCTGCCAGCACCTGCCATGCACCTGCATATGTTTTTGTGCATATGCTAATATGTTTGTGCATATGTGTTAATGCCTGTGTTGCAATGAGCCTTTGCACAGAATTATGAGCATGCACCTGAGCATGAGTATGTGACAGTCTTCTGGGGACAACATATACTGAACTTCTCTTACAGGTTGATTTACTAAAGGCAAATAAGTTGTTTCTTTTGCAAGGGAAGTTGCACTTTGCAAGGGTATTTTCCCCAGAGAGTGAAAGAGGTGAAGCTTGGCTGACTTCTCTCATCAAATCAAGTGCAAAAATGCAGGTTTTTGTTTTATTTTGCTTGCACTTGATTGGGTAACATATTTTCAAAATGAAATTCAACACATTCACTAAATTCCCTTACAAGGTGCAACTTCCTTTTGCAAAGTAGAAAGCCTATTTGCCTTTGGTAAATCAACCCCACGGGTTACAAAACATGTCCACATTTGGCTTCACATTCTATGTTCTCTTTACAATCAAACAAAACAGGATTTCCTAATAAGCAGAGTAACAGAACATTAGTTTATTTTACTGGCAGATTTCAGAGCAACAAACTGTTCTGTGGGGGAAAAATAGCTTATATCAATCTCATAAATAACACCAAAAGGTCATATAAACTCTTGAACCTGAAAACCTGAATTTTTTAATAGAACATGGTATCCGAGTCCAAGTTCCATTTCAGCGCTCATACTCCCAGTGGAAGTTCTTTCAATGTTTTCTAGATTGCAACAGTAAAGGGAAGTATGTGGGAACATCTCCAAGAATAAAGGGAGTTATGTTTAACTCTAGTGTACTGACATTTTGTTGAGCCAAGGTTAGATGTATATTATTAATATTTATTTGGTTCATGTACTGATAGCATTGTTTATTTTGTCTTAAATTACTGGGAGAAACTGACAGATACAATAACAATTGTTATTTTAATATTATAGAATATCATCAACATTCTGTGAGTAAAAATTGAATTTTGTTTGGAAATTCAGACAAGTGATGCCAGCAATGTAAAAATAGTTTGAAAACGTGTCAAATCCAATTGTGAGCGGTAGAGAGAGGAACCCAGATCCTATCATGATGTCACAAATCCTGTAGGAGAGTTTTCTTTACAGCTAATCTATTATGATTTAACGGGAGATCTTTATGCTTCAGAAAAATGACAACTAAATACATATTTATTGTGTTTCTATATCGGTTTGGTTTGCAAACAGTACATGCACTAGCTCATCTTTGGCTTGGACTTGGGAGCTCCTGGGGACTGGGCAAGCCAGTGCGATGCCCTGCCAATTTTGCTCATGTCAAAGTGCACCAAAGTGATTAGGGGATCGAAGGTGAAATTTGCATAGCGCAGTTGGCAGCTTCACAGCAATGTCTGTATAGCGAAAATATGAAAATGAAATCTGCACCTCCTAATTAGCGTACAACCTAGTCTAATTTATAGGAAAGTGCTCCAGCATAATTGAACATGAAAGGAGTCGCTGGGTCAAACTGTTAATTGATCAGGAGATATGAATGAATGGTGCTATTTTTTTTAGGCTTACAGTTAAGCCATTGTAGTACAATAAAGGCCCCTGTGATGAACAAGGAGAGCAGAGAGAGAGCACACAGAGGCAATCAGAAGGAAACCAATGTGCAGGAATTTGTTGGGGGACAGTAGGAGAACCAGTTCAAAGAATAAACTGTAGGCTCAGCAATGAAGAGTGACCCTCAAGACGGCAATATGGGACAGAAAAGGGAAGATAGTCCACAAGGCAAACAGAAAGCACAGCAAGGGAGAGTGTTCCTCAGGACGACAATGTGGGATAGCAAACATAGGGGATAGTCCACAGGGCAGCTGGGAGACATAGCAAGGGAGAATGTTCCACAGGACTGGAATATTGCACAGCAAACAAAAGAGGTAGTCCACAGGGCAGCCAGGAGACACAGCAAGGGAGAATGTTCCACATGATGGCAATATAATTAATAATAATAATAATAATAATAAAAAACTTTATTTTATATAGCACCTTTAGAGGTAGCTTCTCAAAGCGCTTTACAAAAAGAAACACAAGAAATACAAAATATAAAACAAAGGGGAAAAAAAGGAAAACT